GAACCCCATGAGGCAGGTGCCACTATCCCCACTTTACAAATAAGGACACAGACAAGTAAATTCCCCAAGGTCCTAATGTTGGAATTTCAGTCTTTCAGACAGGCTGATGGGAAAAACCAGATTCCCATATAGTATAAGAGGAAAATGAGGACCTCTGGTATCTAAAGAGAAAACACTACCTTGTAGTTTTTACAGGGTTAAATTGCTGCTGGGGGATGAAAGGTTTTCACTGGCATCCTGACAGCAGACTTGGGGATTTTCCTGTTTATCATCATCACCTTTTCTCTACCCCCAGCACGGGTTGTGCTTATTCCCAACACCACACTTAGTGCTCACACTATACCCTCTGCCTGGTGCTCCTGCCGCTAACACTTTTTCCAGGAGCGATTTCTCTTTCACTAATGCTACCAGCCGGGCTCCACCCCACAATTTGGAGCTATTGCTGGGGGTCAGCGAAAGGGCTGAGTCACCAGCCCACATCCAGGTCGGATTCCGCCGGTGAACTTGAGATGGTAGTCCATTCTGGCCTTGAATTTTCACCTGTGAATTGAGGGAGGTATCAGGCCCACCTCCCAGGTATTGTGCAGGGAACTGACCTAATGGAGGAAAAAGCGCTTTGTGATCTGTGATTATTGACACAGCGACACAGCGCGACCCTCCAGGGAAACACTGTTACCACACCTCACAGAGGCTCAGAGAAGGGAAGTGATGAGTGCCCCTCCCCAAAAGGAGCCGGAGGCCCAGAGGGGCCTGCACCGGCCCAGTCTGGTCCTGGCGCCTAAGTCGCCCCTGGGAATGGATCTCTTAGGTTGTAGTCCAGCAGGAGCCTGTTGCGCCCCCTGGTGGCTGTCGTAGCAAGCGCTCACACCCTTTCTGTCAGGCCTCTGTCCCTCAGCCCTTCATGCCCATTTCACACGCAGAAAAACAGCCTGCGGAGTGACAAAAATTGGCCAAGTTCTCCCCAAACTGAATCTGTGACTAAACAGAGACATAACCCACGCAGGCCCAGCCCCAGTGTAAATGGATCTGGTCCTTAGCCCTTCCTGAGAGCCCACACCCCCACCCTTCATCCAAGCACTTTCCTCCTCAACCCACCTTTTACTTCCTTTCCATGACTAGCCTCCTTCGCCTTATTCTCTTCTCTTAAAAAAAAGGGCGGGGGGGGGGAGTGAAAACAATTAAGAAGCTCTGGGACAAGTAGGTGCTCAGGAGAATGGGTCCAATCTGACCTCTTGCGCAGAGCTGTGGGGAGGGGGTTAACTGGGAACGTGCGTGGGAATGCTGCGTCATCCGCGGTTTCTGCCCCACCCTCCTGCCTGCCTGACTTTTGCCTTCCTCCAGAGCAAAGCAGGGACAGCAGGAGGAGTGGTTAAGGACCTTGTCATCTTCCAACAGAGGACACGCTAACCACTGTTTCTCACTGTCAGACCGATTCAGGATCCTTGAGAGATCCTCAGAGGCGGGGAAGGGAACCATCACAACCATTGGACAGATGCAGAAACTGAGGCTCATGGAGGCAAGGTGAGCATTTCAAGGTCGCAGAACCTGTAAACAGTAGAGCCAGGATTCAACCCAGTCATTGGGTGTATATGCTTGGCTGAGGTGCCAATAGGATGAAGCCATCATCTGTGGGATTATGACTGATCACCTCTAAATCAGAATTCCACCCAGCAGGAGGAACAATACTGCAGCTCCACGGAGTCTCACCTCCCTCTGCCTCGGATAGCTGCCCTCCCCCAACGATACCAGCCCCCAGTGGTGGGATGGTCTGGTGCAGAGAGACTCTCCTCCTGGGAAAAGGGCGTGGCCATAAAGGGGGTCACCCGCTTGCCCCCCCATCATTGATGTTCATGGGGAGCCTGGCACTAAACCATTCATAATGACCTGCTCTGGGTCAAGGTTTCCCGGGTAGCAGAGCAGCTCTCTCGCTGCAATCTATTGAAAGTCAGCCTGTTGTTGAGCACCTACTATGTGCAGGACTCAGGTGTGAGGCACTCTGATAAACACAGAGTTTCAGAGAGTAATGGCACTAGGTCCTACCCTCTGGGGCACAATATGGCAAAGGCTCTGAGATATGGGTGAGGTCCATAGCTCCACAAAACAGAGAGAGGGATAGACTGGGAAGAAGGGAAAGGAATGAGGGGACATTCACAGGAGGGAGCCTTGAGAAGTCAGGTGGTCTATCAGGGTAGGAAAAGCAGTTCAGACAAAGACCAGCATGAGCAAAGGTCTAGGGACAAGTAAGCAGGGACACATGGCTGGAGATAAAACTCAAAATGCCATGTGCACTCTTGCCCCTACATTGCCCTACCCTGTATAGTCCTCCCTACACCCCCAGACCTCCATGTCAACTCCGCCCTTGCAGGGTTATCCAGGCCATCACCAGGATACCTCATCTCCTCTCTTAGCCCACACCCTGGTGGCTCTACCTCCAAGACGTGAGAACCCAGTCCCTTCTCGCCCCCAACTATTGCCCATCACTCTGGTCTGAGCCTCCATGACCTCTGTCTTCCTAAGTTGTCTCTGCTTCCACCCTTGCCCGCTGAAGTCTCTTTTCTACCTAAATGCCAGGTAAGACCATGTCACTCCTCTGCTCAGAACACTGGAATGGTTCCTGTCTTAACAGAGTAAAAGCCAAAGTCCTCAAAATGGTCTACAAGGCCCTAGATGATTTTGCCACCCATCCCATCACCCCTCTGAGCTCATCCCCTGCCATGCCTCTCCTCACTCACTCTATTCCAGCCATGCTGGCTCCTCGGAACACACAGACACCCCAAGACCTTTGCACCTGCTGTTCCTTCTGCCTGGAAAGCTCTTCCTCCCTTACCTCCTCGAGTCTTTGCCAAGTGTCAGTTTCACCATGAGGCTTTCCCTGGTGTGATATCTAAAACTGTACACCCCTCCCCCAGGTATTTCCTGTCCTCCTTTCCCAATTAACTTTTCTCCATAATATACTCACCATCTGTCATAGTACATACATTGTTATCTTGTCTTGTCTTGACTGATTTGAGATGGTCGCTCCAGGGGGTGGGGTCACCAGCCAACCCTGAAGAATACAGAAGCCTGGGAGGGGCCCAGGGAAAGTGAGGGAGGGGTCCAGGGAAAACAAGAGAGAGGCCTGAGCTCCAAGGATCCTTCACATCCCAGACCTGGTGGCAGGCACCAGAGGTGGGGTCTGAATGGTGGGTGAGGAAATCAGATAGCCAGGTCTAGGAGGAAGGAGACCAGGAAGCAAGCCAATGCCTCCTGGGGCTTCAGAGTGGCAGACCAAGCCTCATGGGGCTCCTTCATCCCACGCCTGCCGGTGGGCATGAGGGCCCCCAGTTCACAGCAAGGGCACTGCAGCCCAGAAGGGGACAGTGGCTTGCCTCATCAGGAGACTGGCTCCATGGCCCTGGCTGGACCTCCAAGGCGCTGGTGACCTTGTGCAAGTTACTGCCCTTCATAGGGGCTTTCACAGATGAGAAAGAAAAGCAGAAAAAGTTTTTCCAGCCCTCCAGCCCTCCCAGTCCTGCCCCTGCTAGCTCCTGCCCTCAAAGGTGGTGCCTCCAAGTCACACCTGCAGCTCATTAACTCACCTGCCTGGGGGAAATTCCTCTCAGTCGGGAGTAGGAGGGAAGCTGGGCTCTGCTTCTCAGACTGGGACCCCATCAACCCTTTAGAAACGGCGGAAGGCCTGATGGCACCCGCTCCCCATCCTTGTGACACAGGTGGGAAACGAGTGTGTGCGTTTCTGTGTGTGTGACCAGCAAGGAAACCTCCATCTCCCTAATAGCCAGTAAGGTAAGGCACAGATCGCGAGAAGTCAAGGAGGGAAGGAAGCCAGCATGGGGTCGGGGCTTGATTATGGGGGAGGGGGAGGATTTCAGAAAACCCACAAGGTCTGGCTCACATGGCTGAGAGACGGCCCAATGATAAGAATAGCTGACATTTATCTATTCACTCAGCCAGCCAGCAAGTATCCCCTGAGCATCTTCCATTCACAGGCACTCTTTCCAGGCTTAATGGATACAAATGTAAGGCAAAGAACCACAAATTCCCTGCTCTAGTAGAGCTTACTGCTGGTGAGAAACATGCAATAAGCAAGCAAACAAATCTTTTAAAAGGGAAAATGTTAAATGATGACAGTTGTTATTTTGAAAAATAGAGCAGGCAGGAGGCTGGGAATGCAGGGGCCTGGGTGGGATTAGGTTTTAACAGCGGTCAAGGAACTCTCTATGAGAGGGACAGAGGGGAGATGTAAGAGAGGTGAGAAGCAGGCTGAGGAAGGGCTTCTGGAGAGAAGGGCAAGTACAAAGGCCCACAGTGGGCCGGATTGGCACCCAGCAAGCGGGGGAGGGCAGGATGTGGGTCAGACCCTCCCCCCTCCCCCTGGCACCACCCAGCCTGCTGTAAGGGCTTTCCCTTTATTGGATGTGAGCTGGGAACCGGCAGAGTTTTGAGCCCAGCAGGGACATCAACCTGGTTTGATCAGGCTCATTCTGGCCACTGAGTTTTGAGGAGATAGTGGGGGATGCTGGCAGAAGCAGGAAGACTGAATAGGCAGCCACTGAGCCAGTCCAGACATGTGGGAGGATCCCAGGCCTGGAGCTCAGCCAGACCGGAATGAAAACACTACCTGGAGCAGAGTGGCATTGAGGATGTGAAACAGTGGCAGAAGCCCTGGCCCAGCACAAAGTAGGCCCTCAGGAATGCCACCCTTATCCAGCTGACTGAGCCCTAGGACTTTGAACCTCTGCTTATTGTGTGACCCTGAGAAGGTTACTTAACCTCTTGGAGCTGACCTTCTCATCTGTGAATGGGATGGGTGAGGTAGAGATGTAGGGATGCAGAATGCAGCTGGACAGAAAGCAGTCATTTCTGCTATATCTGGAAAGGAAAGGTAGTGAGCTCCCTGTCACAGGAGGTATGGGAGATGAGGCCAACTTGGCACTTAGTGGAGGGGAGTTAGCTCTACTAGCAAAATATGACAGTCAATTAATAGGAATAGACACCTGCAACAGAGTTAAGAAATCTGCATTTATTATTTGATGCATTAGCACGGAGCCTGCAGGATCATTGTGAGCTCACAATGTCAGCTGTCATCTCATTTCATCCTCGCACTCAGCTCTCTAAGGTAGGGGATTGTGCCACTGTAATTCCCAATTCCTATTTTACAAATGCAGAAACTAAGGCAAAGAGAGGTAAAGTCACTTGTCTCAGATCACTCAGCTGGTACCTATAAGATGGAACCCAAGCACAGATTGTCTGAATTTGGAGTCCACATTCTTTTGATTATAAACTTAGTGTGGGACCTCATGCCAGTCCTGACTCTGCCTCTGGGCCCCAACTGTCTCACCTGCACAAACAAAATCTCTCAGTTGGCAGCCAGCACTAACTGCCAGCCACATGGATGAGCCGCCTTGGACACTCTGGCCTAGCTGGGCCCCTGATGACTGTAGCCCCATCAAACATCAGGTGAGGCAGAGAAACCACTCGGCTGGGCCCGGGCAACCCACAGAATCATGAGAGATTATATAAAATGGATATATTTTAAGCCTTTTGTTACACAGCAATAGGTAAATAAAACAGCATTCATTAAATATTTTTTGAGTGCCTTCTGTGTACTAGACACTAGAAGCAGCTCCGCATTTGTCTCCAACCCTGGGGCCTGCTAGGAGCCTTCAGCTTCATCCCTCTGCAGTCTGAGCTGTGCTGGGCAGAAGCACGCAGTGCCCCATGTTGTCTCACCAGAGAGGCCATCAGGGACAGGGATGATGCTCTCGTAGCTGGGTGGCAGCAGCGGGGGCAAGGGCCCGAGCAGGTCATCTTCAGAGGTGCTGCACCTCAGGCCTTCCTCCACGCGGTAGGAAGGTGGTTTCAGGGGCCCCTCGGCCAGAGGGCAGCACACAGCCTCCTCATAAGTGGGAATGAAGCCCACCTTTGGGATCCTACAAGAAGAGAGGCTGTTGGCAGGGACGAGGGCAAGGCCTCCTGCATGCCGGGGACAGAGTGAGGAAGGCTGGGCTGAGAGTCCTCATGCCCTGGCCCAAGCCCTTTGCTGCCCCTCATGTGAGCATCCACTGCCCCTTGGGGACATGGCCCTTCTCTGGGCAACATGTCTTCTGAGCCCCAGCCCACTGCAGCCCTCAGAGTGGCTGGCTGGGGACATAGGCTCACTGCCCAACTCTATGACAGGGTCATGAAGCAGGCTGATGGGGAACCTGGAGCTGCCCTCCAGCCTGGGTGCCAGTCTGATGGAGGGCACTGCCAGGAGCCAAATCTGGGACTCCCCCTCCAGTGCTCTTGCACTCTTCTCTCATTAGACTCTCCTCCAGAAGACCGCCCAGAAGCCCTGCAGCTGAGGAAGCTGATAAGGGACCTCAACTCCCCTAAGCACCCAGCATCCTTTGCAGGTAAGGGCAGGCAGAGAATATTGCCTCTGCAGGTAGCAAGCCAGCTTCTACTGCTGTGTGACCTAGGCTGTGCTCACTTCCTCCCTGCGCCTCCTCCTCGTCTATAAAATAGGGATTCCCATTTTACAGATTCAGGGGAAGGGAAATGGAAAACGCTTAGACAACACTCATTAGAAAAATGTGGGTAATAAGGCTCCCAGAGCGCCACATCTCCTCTCCTGCTTACCTCCCAGCCACACCTCTACCACTCCCCAGTTCTCCAAGTGCTGTAGACATGAGACAGGCTCTGGGTATGCCGGAGGCCACCCCAGAGGAGGCAGCTGGCAGGGCAGGGCAGGGCACAGGTGACAGGTGAGCCCTACCTACAGCAGGAAGTTTGCTTAGAGGGCAGATGTGGAATGGCCTCTTGCTGCCACCTGTTGTCACCTTAGTAGCCAGCTTGGCCCAACCAGCTCCAAGTTGGTTATGGCCCAAAAGGCTGGGAACTTGGGGAACACAAGGCCCCATGTAGGGCAGCCATGTCACATGCTTTAGGACAGAGGCTCCACTCATGTTCTCTTGATGTGGTACCCCGCAGGTGTGTGGGGCAGGCCTGCCACTGCAGTCCCTGTGCACAGGAAACCCCAGTGAGGCTAGTGTTTGCCCCACTCTCTGGAGCCTGGTGGTGACAGGAGACCTGGGCCTGGCACTGGCATCTCTGCCCTTCAGCTGAATCAGGCAAACACAATAGGTTAAAGGGAAAGGGACAAGGAATGAAATACTATTTGCACAGGACTTAAATCCTCTAATCTGTTTCACATTTGTGCCAACTCTGGCAGGTGGCAGCTCTCAGCCGTTGTACAGGTGAGTGAAGGCTGTGCATCAACAGCTAAAGGGCAAAGCCCCAGCTCTGTCTGATTGCAAAGCTCAAGCCAGCTCCTTCTGTCCCCACCTCAGCCCCTCATCTCTCCACACCTTAGCTTTCTCATCTGTAAAATGGGTCTAATCCTTCCACTTTACCTCATAAGCAGTTGAGGCTAAAATCAGTTAGTGAGCATGAAAGTGCACTGTGAACTCAAAGCACCTGAACAGCAGCAAAAGCTAATGTGTGCACGGACTTCGCAGTACACATACTTCCTCACCTATCATCTCATCTGAGCTTGACAGCAATCCTAGGGAAAAATTCTGTCACCCCCAGCTGAAAGACGAGGAATTAGACATGGCTCAGACAGTCTAAGTAACATGCTCAAGGACACACAGCTTATAAGAGAAAGAGCAGAGACTGAAACCCTCATGTCTGAAGAGGCCCATCCCTGTTCTGCTATACCCACCAAGGGTGGGGCCCCTGGGAAGACCAGCCACCTCGTCTAAGGGTTCACACTTCAGATGGGGGCTCCCTGAGGGTAGGGGTTTTGTCTGTCTTGTCTACTACTACTTCGTCAGTGCTCTGCCTAGGACCCAGCACACAGTAGGTGCTCAACAAATACTGGGTCAGTGTATGAAAGAATAAGTAGATGAATAAATAGGGAAACTGAGGTCCCAAATGGGGAGGGACCTTCCCTAGCCATCAGTCTAGAAAGACTTTGTCTCTGTCCTGAATTTACCCACAACTGGACCCCCCCAAAGAGCAAGATTCCCGGGACAGAAGACTGGCCTCCCATGGAGGCCAGATGCTAGGCTGTGCAGACAGCAAGCAGGGCTGGGCTGTGTTGGCCCCAGTGATGGGCAGAGCCATTAGCACCAGTAGCCTCCCCAACACCCAGCCACCCCAGTTCTGAATCTAAGACTTGGGTCTCTCAGCCTGATGGGCCAGGAGCACCCTGCAGCCTCCTTAGTGGGCCTCCTCCCTGGCCTCACTGGGCATGAAGGCCAGGTGGGGCCATCTGATACACACAGCTGTAGCTGTTGGGTCAACCTGGCTGTGTGTACACAGACAACACCCACCCAGGCTGCTGGGGAGGGAGGCTCCCGTCCAGAGTGCCCTGAGGCCCAGCCTGGATCCAACTGGACACTGAATTGCTGGGTGACAGGCAGGTCACTGGTCTCCCTGAGAGCCAGCCTTCTCATCTGAGTGCAGTGTGAAGGAGTGGCTAGGAAGTCCCTAAGGCCCTGCCCTTCCCTCTAACTCAGGAAAGAAGGGTCCCCAGGTCCCAGGTCAGCCCGTGGATGTCTGATCTAGCCCCTAACACATCCACGTCCAGCACCCACTGAGCGGTGTGGGAGAAGGCAAGCTTCACAGCCAGAGGCCTCCACTTCCCAGCTGTGTAGCCCTTGTCTTCTCCTGTAAATGGCAACAGTAATTCTTACCTTGTACAAAGACAGAAGGACTGGAGAAGATGTATGCAGGCCCCTGATATGTAGGCATACCTGATACTTGGTTGAATGAATAAGTGCATAATAAGTGCATAATGTATGCATCCTCACCAGGGCAAAAATCAGTTCTTGGTATCTTGGTTATACTTTGTTCATGTATAAAACACAGATATACACACAGAACATAAACCAATGTACAGTATATCTGTGGCATTTTCATTAAAAGTTCATAAAATTAAGAAAAAGTACCTACAAAAGCTCCTTAGAGGAAGTGATGGTGAAAAACAGATTGAAAATCATTGTCTTAATACAAGATTTTGTCACCCCTCAACCGGTCCCATCCCACCCTTGAGCCTTTGCACATGTTCTTCTGCCTGCCTAGAAGACAGGCACCTCTGGGACACTGCTGAGCTCTCCACATATCCACTGGAGGAAAAGTTGACATTGCTGTGCACCTACTGTGTGCCAGGCCCTGGGCTCAGTTCTGTACACACGTCATCTCATTTAGTTCTCCATGTCCCTTGAGCTAGGGAGTGGGTGACAGCAGACTCTGGGTTCAAGTCCAGACTCTGACACACACCAGCTGGGTGCCCCTGGGCAAGTTACTTAACATTTCCTCATCTATAAATGGCGTTAGTAACAGTATTTACTTCAGAGGGCTACTGTAAGGAATGAGTAAATATGAAAAGCACTAGAACAGTGTCAGGCATAACAGTGTTATGATTATTGCTGTTTTTATTATTCTTGTTTTATTTCTGATGAGCAAGCTGAGGCTCAGTAGGGTTGCATGATCTTCTTGAAGTCCTACCACTGGACTTCATGAAACCAGGAGAGGATCCCAGTGGATCTGACTCCTATGTCTGGGTTCTGAACCTCTGTGCTCCTCTGCCCCATACTATGACTCAGCTGAGTGCAACTGCCACCTCCCCCAGGAAGCCTTCCTGGATTTCACCATGTCTCCACAGGACCATGTCTGCTCTTCTCACACAGTTCTAACTACTCTGGTTTGTCAATATTTGCCAGTGCTATGGGGCTTTACACTCCTCCAGGAATGTGCTGATCAGCCTCCAAGTCCCCAGGGCATAGACAAGGCCTGGTCTCAGGGAGGAATCCCTTGAGAGTTTGCTGAACAAGTGCCTGATGGTGTGGTAACATCCCACCCACTGCCCCTACCCACCACCCCGACCCTGACTCACTGACCTGCAGCTCCCCTCCTCTGAGGGCTCCACAGTGAGGTAGTACAGGTCTCTGGAGAGGTGATATGGGTCCCATCCGGGTGGCCCTCGGGTGTTGGCCTTGACAGACCACAGTAGGCCAAAGAGCAGCAGCAGACCGCCTGAGCCGCAGAAGAAAAAGCTGACTGGCCGGAGCAGGGGGCTGGGGGTGCCAGGTGCCAGGTGCCCGGTGTGAGGGGCCGGCTGGGCTTGGGCATCCCCTTCACTCCACCAAGCAAAGCACAGTGTCCCGGCCACCAGAACCACGGTGCCACTGACCATCATGCAGTAGCGGAGGGTGGAGGCCACTCGGCCCCCATCACACGTCTGGACATAAAAGAGAGAGAAGATGTGGACCACATAAGAGGCCTGCTGAGCCCTAGAAACCTGAGTTTCAGTCCTCCTCTGCCTGAGGTCACTGTGGAACCTCGGCAAGGTCATCTGGCTCCTCTGTGCTTTAGTGTCCTCCTCTGTGAAAATGCTCCAAACTCTGTAGGGCTGTTTTGAAGGTCACGGATAATGTGTCTTAGGTTCCTAGCACCATGCCTGGGTCCAGCAGGAGCTCCGTAAGTGTGCGTAGGTTCACTTTGGGCCTCACTCCAGGCCTCAGAGGCCTCAACTGCCTGGAGGGGATGACTCCCCAAGGTGTCTAGCACAGGCTGGGAGGAAGGGGAATAAACATTTCTGGAGTCCACCAGGCCGGCCAGGACTGGCGCTTGCTGGTCCCACATTGCCTCACTTCACCCTGGTCATAATCCCGAGAGATCAGTGCTGCTATCTCCATTTGACAGAGGAAGACACCAAACCCAGAGCGGGTAAAGGAGCAAGTGCGAACAAAGCAGCCGGAAGGTGAATTCACAACATGAAGCAAAACTTTGTGCAAATTGATGTTCCCCAGGGCCTTATTTATAATGGTCCTAACCTGGAGCCTAAATGTCTGGCTACAGGGAAATGGAGAGTATACTCTTGATGGCATATTAATGACTCATTTAAAAAACTCAAGCTCAGCATGAATGTTTAACAACAGGGGAGAAATGCTTATCATATCTTACTTTTCTCAGCTTAGTATGCCAAATTATGCATACAGTGTTCTCTCAATTAGGTAAAGAAAAAATGCACAGGAAAAAAACCTGGGAGGAAACCTGGCCCCAGATCATATAGACAGGACAGAGCTGAAAGCCCACGTCTGGGCTGTCCCCATAGCTAATCTCTAGGCTGCTGTACGTGCTGTTCCCTCTGCTTGGTAACCTGCCATTACCTTTCAAGGCTCAGTTTGGCCCTCACCCTACAACCTTTGCTGGTGACACTTTAAACACCAAGTCTCCTGGGCCTTCTTGGACCACAGCACACACTTGTCTGTGTTTGATTTCTCCTTTACTTGTCCTCCCACCAGACAGTGAGCTTCCTGAGGGCAGGGTCCTTATTGGTGGTATTCACTGCTTTATCCACACTGTCTAACACATAGTAGCTACTCAATAAACATTTGTTTAAGAAGGTCTCTTAAATGAGGGGAACTGTTGCTGGGTAATGGTTGTGTAAAAAGCCTCATAGCTGGGAGGGTCTAGAAGAGGAGAGGGAACACAGGATTCCAGATGCCACAGCACTGAGCCATGGAGTAGAGGCCTGGCATCAGGCCTCACCCTGCACCTCACCACCCTGTGGTTTACTCCTGGGGTAAGCTTCTCAACTGCTCTGGGCCTGTTTCCTCATCCTAAAAGGGCACCCTATATAATTACAGATTGTTCAGAGATTTTAAGGAGGCACTGTCTCCTCTTCCAAAAGCTAAGCCAGTGAAGCAGGGGACTTAGGGAGACTTCAGTGACCAGAAATGGGGGCTTGCCCAGCCAAATGCAACCATGGTGCACCTGAATGATGCCCAACTGCACAGCTGCTCAAAGGCTTGTTCCTAGGGGAGCTGAGGGGCACTGCAAAACATTCAAGATATATTAGGTGACACTAGGTTTCAGAAGGGCATGTTCCCAAATGTGCTTAAACACATATGTCTGTATGCATGTATGAGAGAGAGTGCATACATGTAACAGGGGCACTCTAGGAGTAGACCCCTATCTTTCTGAGTCTCCAGACCACTGGAAGCATACATAAAAATGCCATATGTAAATCACCTGCAGTTCTCTTCCTGTGAATCTGTCTGTGGAGCAAGTTCTCCTGTCTCCAGGTCAAGGCATTTTCATGGTGGGAGGAAAAGGCCCTGACTATTCCCTCTTCAAAGTTAGACAGCGATGAGAGGCTGTCAAAAGGAAAAGCTGGAGAAATCAGTGTGGGGAGAAAAACAACACAGCAATCAATTAACAGTAAGCCGTTGCCTATATATCACAGCACTTGACAGTTCCCCTTCACACCCAGCATCTCATTTGACTTCCCATAACTGAGGTGGGTGGTGAGGGCAGGGAAAGAAATTCCTGTTTGGCAAATGAGGAGACGGAACCCAGAAAAGTGAAGGACTTTGCCCAAAGCCAGATACAGAAGAGTTTCTCAACACTTCAAGAACTCACTGCTACATAAGGTAACTTAGGATGCTTCTCAATTTATATAAAAGCAATAGTTACTCATTGTGGGAAAAGGAGAAAACCATAGAAGAGAATAAAAATGAAAAATATGAATCACCATTAATCCTGCCCATCAGAGATAAGTATGATCAGCAAGTGAATGTTCCCATTTCATTTCTTCCTTGGCCTACATACATGATGATGTTTGCCATCTTGTGCAAAGATCATGTTTGCCATCTTGCCATCTCATCATCACACCTTGCTCCTCTCTGGGAGGCAGGAATTTGACCCAGTCAGAGATGCTGAGCAGCCTGATCAACTCACAGAGCCAACAGATAGAATGATCATAGTCAGAGGGGGTGATAAATCTGATGCAAGGCCTCCCGTGGCTGGTGGGAGGTGGGGTAGTGACAGCAGATGTGTACTGGTCATTTACATGGGCTGAGCACCGATACCAAGCACTTTACAGGAGTCCCCTGACTTAATCCTCACAATAACATAATGTCCCAAGGACACTGGAGCTGTGAGGGTGACGGTGACAGCTTGTTTGAGGTCAGTGCTGAATTTGAACCCAGGTCTAGTCTGACTCAAACCCTTGTGTGTGTGCCCAGTTAGATCTATCTAGATTGTGTAGTATATAAAGTTGGGAACGTGCTGTGAATAGATGTAGCTGTAAGTCTTTGGCACAGGTAGTTCTTGCTTTCTAGAACACACGGCCCTCCTTCCTGGCTCAACAACTCCAGACCTCAGGCTCGCCTCTGCAATTGCCCTTAGCATGTTCTCACCGGATGTGATGGTCATCTCCTGTGTGGGTCTCTCTCCATGTGGACCGTCCCCCACCCTCCCCCAGGCAGGCAGAGCACATGATAACCTGCTGTCCCCAGGAAGTGGAGGGTGAGGCTGTCCACTGGATGGAGGACAACCTGTTCTGTGGCTGTGGGGTGGTTTTTATTATTATTATAGATCAAGGCTCTGGTACATTCTTAGCAGGGCCACCTGTCCCAAGACTCCCTGGAGCCATTTGAGAGAGGTGGTCTTCAGGCAGCTCACTCACTTCTCATGCTGGTGTACCCTATACCCTGATGGGGGAGGAACAAAGGGCTCCCTGCCCTGGAGGGCATAAGTCCAGCCCTGGGGCAGAAAGGAAACCTCTCCGATCCCAGAGTGCCAGGATATGGCACTCAGTCAGGGCCTGCCACACTGGCTCCCTCATACCCCACTACCCAAACTCCTGCCGCCTGGGAGCCCTCTGTCCCCATCCAGGGCCCTCATTTCAAACATCCCCCCAACTTGAAGCCCCAGAGCAATAAAGAGGCACAAAATCTCAACCATAATATAGGTTGGTCATGAGGATAGAAGTGCAGGATGGAAAATATGGCCAATGGTTCTGTAACATCTTTCTAATGTTTACAGACAGTAACTGGACTAGTTGGGGTGGGGATTTAATCATGTGTTTAACTGTCGAATCACTGTTGTATACTTGAAACCAACATAATGTTTTATATCAACCATACTCAATTAAAAAAAGACCCAGCCCAAACACCAGCTCCTTCCAGAAGCATTTCTGCTGTGGCTACCCTACCTCCTGAGGGGAGGCCTTTCACCATATCAGATTTATCACCCCCTCTGACTATGGCCATTCTACCTGTTGGCTCTGTGACGCTAATCAAGCTGCTCAACATCTCTGACTGGGGTCAAATTTCTGCCTCCCAGAGAGGAACAAGTTGTGACAATGAGATGGCAAGACAGCAAACTGTAAATGAAGCCTGTTGACACAGAGATGGACAGAAGACAGACCTGGCTCTGACACTGGGCAAGTTTCCTACCTTTTCTATGCCCCAGGTCTCTTCTCTGTAAAGTGGGCACAACAACACTGTATCACCTGTGTTACCAACAAGGGAACTTTAGGTGCCAGTTTTCTGTAAAAACCTAAACCGTCTGAGCAAGAATTGGACCTCAACCATCCCCAGCTAACCACTGGGTACACCGAGGCCTTGAGCGCCATGGCACAAGCGAGTCAGAACAGTTAGGAGAAGACCTGAGTGTCCAGACTTTGCCAGGACTTCACGGTGGTCAAGGGTACGGAAAGGGATGCAGGAATCTGCTTTAGGAGAAGCCCAGATTGCTTCCGAAAGGGGGCGAAAAGGAAGCTTATACTCACCTGGGGCGCAGGCATAACGCGGCAGGCGGTCAGGCGTGGTCCAGGCGCAGGGAGCCCGGCGTGGGTAAAGGCATGATGGCTGTGGACCGGAGGGCAGCGCGCACTTGGGGACCTCGGTAAGGTTCCCTTGGCCCTGTAGGGGGCGCCTGGCGTGAGGGGGCGGCCCTGGCTGTAGTCCCCCAGAACCCGCTTTCCGCGCCGCACGAAAGGGCCAGGGTCCGGCTCCCGACCGGGTCCGGGGGTCTCACCCGCCCCCAACTCGCCAGCCGCCGTCCGTCCCTCCGCTCCCGCCGCCTGCGTTCCCGTCCCCGCCCGCTGAGGACAGGTGCGGAACCGGACTTCCCGCGGGCTCCCGCCGGGGTGCTGCGCTCCCCCCTTAGGGGCTCTGCAACCCGCGGGGGTGCTAACGGGGGCTTGCGGAGCTCGGACTTCGTCCTCGACTTGAGTGGTGACCATCCCCGCCCCTGGCCATCCCTTGTACCCCTCCCGACCTTGGCCGACTGCGGCGGGGCACCCTGGGCTGGGGCTCAGGGATGCGGCCCGCCCCACCTCTCTCGGATCCGCGTCCTGGAGGGCGCCGGTCCAGCGGAGACTCCAGGGTGGCCTGGCTCCGGGCGACTCCAGGTGCCGCACCACTGCCCGGCCAACCCCGCCCGCCCTTAAAGCGACAGCGCGACCCGTGCTGGCCGGTGTTTGGGGTTCCCGGCGCGGAGCGGGCGGCAGGACCGCTGTGAACCGGTATCTCCCTGAAACTGTTGGGAGCTAGCTGTCCTGGGGGCCGGTCTACCCCTGTACCCCAGAGGCCGGCTTGGGAACGAGAGCCACCAACGCCCAGATAGGGCCCTAGGAGGCCAGAGCCTGTGCCTCCACACTCCCATTTTACAGAAAGGGAAACTGAGGCCCAAAGAGGGAAAGTCACTCGTCTAAGTGTTCACCACACACTTCATTACATAATTGCCTTTTCTTCTCACAGCAGTCAATCTGAGAGCAACACCCTCCCGCAGGGCTCTGAGACCTCACATCCTGAGGAGATGTTTGTACACCTCAGAAACATTGGTGGGCATGTAAGTGCTCCTCCAGTCCGTACAAGAGGTCACTGCCCCAACCAGTGAGATGCTGGGAGCAGGGGCCTGAGGGCAGGGCCTTTCACCTGCTGTGTGCCCTAGCTTTTCCCAACCTTCCTCCTTTGTCAAAGGAAGGCTGACCATCCCAGCTCACAGGTCTTGGAGCACTAAACAGTTATGCAATGCGGGGTAAGTGCTAAGCCATCTGACAAGTGCAGGCTAAAGGCAGTTTTTGTAGATAGGTGATTTAGGAATCTGGTGGAAGGGCCTGCTGTGTGTGAGTGTGACTTCTTCTATGGCAGGACACCCAGTTGTCTGAGGCAGAGGGACAGCATGTGCAAGGGCTGGACAAAGTCACAGTTTGGTTAAAACTTGACAAATTCATGTGCATCAAAGGGAGCCAGTTCCTGGACCATCTGAAGTCTTCATTTTACTTTTGTCTTTCCCTGCTGCTCCAACAAGCTAGAGGTCTAGACCAGATTCCCCTCAGCCATGGCTGAGGATTCCCCACTGAGAGTTGGAGAGGGGTGACCAACTCTTCCGCCAGCCCAGGGACACAGAAGGCTGCTTATCCAGTGGAGATCTGAAACTCAGAGAGGGGAAACCACTGTCAGAGTCAAAGAGCAGGTCAGCGGCAGGGCCCAGGCCCCCAATTCCTAAACTCCTTGTCTTAGAGGAAATAGGTCACCCAAGAGCATTCGTGTTCTCTGAGCATGGGATCCTCTGACCTCTGATGTCCTCTTACACATTATCTCTTTTCATCTTCACTGTGTGTGTGGTCTGTATAAATGTTTCCATTTTACAGACAGGAAACTAAGGCTCAGAAAGGGCCAAAGACCTGCATAAGTCCACGGAGCTTAGAAGTGGCTGAACTGAGGCAGATTCCAGACAGACCTCAAACCAGGACCTCCAGCTCTGCTCTGCTCAGGGGACCAAAGGCCACCAGCAGCTCTTTGGGTACTCTTGGTGGCTTGCTCAGAGTAGACAGGAGCGGGAAGCTAGGGGCTGTGAAGCTGTCAGCCTCACTAATTTCCGAAGGGGCAGAATCCATGCAGGGCATAGGTCCCTCACTGATCAAGACTCACCCTCCCCTCCCTGCCTGTAGGCTCAGGGGTAAGTCACAGGTTGGTGAGGTTAAGGTCCAGGTCTGGGCACACCCCTGACCCTGCTTAAACCTGAGTCCCCTGGCCTTAGAGGCTAGACACTCAGGCACTAGAGCTGGACGGGCTGGGACTCCTGTCCTGAGTCAGCCGCTTCCAGGAAGCAAGACTCTGGCCACATTCTTTTCTTTAAGCCACAGTTTCCTTACCCTTTTTCTAAATGGAGACTGTGGCATCTCCTTCCCAGGGTAGCTATGGGTTTAATAAGACTTTATCCAAAAGGAACTGCCCTGGGTACACCCCCACATTACACACTGGCTCTATTCGTGAGTCTCACCTGGTTGATGCTGACCTTCCTAAAGGGAGACAGCATGTGGCTTGGCTCAGGGCCCATCCAGACCCAGCACAGCTGGGACCAGAGGGGGCTAGAACTGAATGCTGAGTGGAGCCCAGTTCTGCCTTGGATGTCCTCCTCCCCAACTTTGGGAGCTCTAGTCCCAGCGCTGCATCTGCCATGATGCCCTGACATAGTGCTGGGTCCCACAGGCTCAGATGTACTTGCAGACCCTCTCTGAACAAGCAGTCTCAGCCTTTCCCTGGCCAGCTGGCTGTCTCAAGGGACAACATTGTTCACCAGCTTCTGCCACAAGGGCATGGAGAAGGAGGCTACCACTTGCACCTGTTTATTACATATCACCTGCCAGCCATTTTTCACATTTAGTTGTCACCTAAGCTACTTCACTGTGGCTGAGAGAGAAGTGTCACACCATTAGTGAGTGGGGAGTGTGGGTGGGGAGAGGTAGTGCTGAAACCCACCTTAGCCTGAGTCTTGCAGACCAGACACACTTTTCCATTCCGGCCACATGGTCCCCTCCTCAGTTACCGCCCTGGGCTGCTGCTGCCTTTTTTCCCTGGCTTCTATGCCCCAGGCTGTCTGCCCTTTGTGATGCACCAGATTGAGCTTCCAAATCTGCCCCCTTCGGTCCCTCACCTGCCTACTCCTTTATGTGCTTCCCGCTGCCCTCAGAATAAGAATGCCAGCTTCTGTGTGTGCTCATCTCCTGTGCTCCCCCAGGCCACTCCTGAACTCCTGGACTCACGGTCCACTGTGTCCACAGTGCAATGCCATGCCTTTGCTCCAGTGGTGCTTCTTTCTCACCAGTTTTACCTGGTGAGTTCATATACTTCCTTTCAGACTCAAATCACAGGGTGACTTCTCCTCAGTGTCCCAAAGCAGAATTATCTGGTCCCTCTGCCAAGCTCCCATAGGACTTTCCATTGGGCAGAGCCCAGAGTATGCCTATAAAAATAAAACCACCTGCCTCCCCTCTCTCCTTTGCAATAAAAAGAAATAGCTGGATATTGCAGAAAATTAAAAAATATCAGTAAGTTAAAAGAAACCAGAATATCCCCCTTCACAGATAAAAACATCTCCAAGCCTGTAAAGGAAGAAACCATTCCACTCAACGCAGCCTCAGCTGCACAGGCTCTGCCCACTCTCTCACGCCTACCCTCCCACACTCTTAGGCAGGTTATGCTATGGCCTATGGTCCCAGGCTGCATGTGGAGAAGCAACAAGATATAAGCACTGGGATCAGACAGGCCTCTTAGCGTTATTATGGGGACTGAATGAGTTATTATATAATGTGCTTAGCAACAGTGTTTGGCTCACAGTAAGTGTTTAGTAATTGCTGGAGTCCAGCTCCAGCAGGGGGGTGTGAAGCCCGAAAGGATGAGATGGAGTCGGTGCACAGAGAGACAGGACACAGAGTCAGATGGAAGTTGTCTCTCAACAAAGTGCCAATAGCAGCTTTATTTATACCATTTTGCACAAGGATATGATTATTTTTTATTGTTCTGTTGATTAATTGGTATAGGCGGTTGATTAATAGATATAGGCAAGCTTTTTTCTTTTTGTTTTCTTCCAAACTATACATGGTTAGCCAAGTGTTAGACAGGTGATCTTTTTCTGTTCCTTGACGGAAACTTTTCCTAGCAACATGTACTCTATTGTGTCTCCTGTTTCTATGCAAAGTGGTTTCTAAGTAATGCATGTGACCACAGAAACATGCAGCATGTAATAGTAACTATGGAGTCTACCAGCTCAGGGTGAAATACGGGTCACTCATTGCTACAGTTAGCTAGGCAGGTATCATCATCTATATTTCTAATGCTATGGGTACATTATATCTCCTCATATTTATTCTATCGTAGGTAGATGCAAGATAAAGATAGAAAGTATGATTTAGAACTGTACGAAGGCAAGTGTAAATGATTAGGTTTGTACCTATAGACTAGGTATTAATCCAAGCCAGACAAGGGCAACAAAACATCCACGGGTGTAGACAATTTCTCTCAAAACTGGGGGGATGAGGTTCTAAGCCTCACCTCTGTTGGCCCCCATTTTCTCACCTGATGGCCCCCCTGTGACTGTGCCTGTCTTAGGTTGTTCCTCCCTTGAGGAATCTTACCCATCTCTGGCTAACCAGCCATCTTCTGGGGCCATACAGGGAGATGTAAAGCTGGTAAGTGAGAGAGAAGTAATATTCTTTGGAAAGGTTAGCTTTTCACTTCTTTGCAGATTTATGTCCTGTGGCTTCCAGGCCCAGCATTTGTCTTGAGGTATCTTTACCACTTGGAAGAATTATGGTACTTGGTAATTTCACATATGAGGCACAGGTTCTAGTAGAGGGCTGTAATTAGGAAGGAAGAGGAGACACCACAGAAGTAGCTGGTAGAAGAAAACATGAGAAGATTGATTAAGTGTCAGACAGGGTTATTCTATTCAATATTCCCTCATAACTCTATTTCTCTAATTTTCTTATAAAACTCTTCATCACTAATTTCACTAGCATTGCAAACAAGGGGGGCATTTCCACTTAGGTGGAGATGGGGTAGTCCATGTTTGACTAACTGACTGCAGGTTTTGGTATTCTAGGCCAAGATTGCCATCTGGCCCCTGCATGTTCTATTCTTCAGGAGCACTGTCCTGAAAAGCTTCTAGGAAGTTTATGTTCTCCTCCTTTCCGTGCTGCTTAGCAAAGATTAGCTTAGCCCTTGGCAACAATGCAAGCAAAAACAAAGCCAATAGTATAATTGAGAAAAACAAAATCCAGGGGGGTAATAGGGGGAGTCAGCTGCGAAGGCCCCTGCTTTGTGAGGGTCTTCCTCCAGCCTGAGCTTTGCTACACAGCTTGAGTAGCATGGCTCCCAGCAAGTAATATTGGCCATTATTATTTTATCTGTAAGTACAAGAGAGGCAATAAGAGAATTCATGATCTTTCTGGAAAAGTGCCCTTCCCTCCACCCCCACTTGGCGCCTCCAGGACAGGGATCCAGGAATCACCACCTAGAAACAACTAACCACTGTAGCATTTTGATATAACTCTTTACGAGTGTGCACATTTTACAAAAATCTTATCATGCATTGCATACCATTTTTAACAGGCTTTTATTTTCATTTAACACTATCTGTCTTGAACATCA